TTGCAGTAGCTGACACTTGATGTTAGTACAGTTTTTTAATTATTAATTCAATAATTAAATTAAAAAACTAATAAATGGTAACTAACAAAAAGAATAGTTCAACAGCATATACAAAAATAAAAATAGTTTGTTGCGTCCCTGTGGTGCAATGGAATAGCGCTTTGGATTTCTAATCCGAAGGTCGTGGTTTGAATCCCACCTGGGATGGCATAATTTCGGAGAATGTAATTTCTTTTTCACTATACTATTTTTTATTAGAATAATTAAATTTAATTAAGGAATAAACAGTAACACTAAAAAAAATTGTTCAACACCATATATAGAAAAGAAAATTGTAAGGAAAATCGCTTTCTATTTTGTTACTTAATATTGTGATTCTATCATATGTATATACATATTTATATTAATTGTAATTATTTAATGAAAAGTAACTAAAATAAAAATTTTCTTTGTTGATCTAAATTTGGAATTGACCAATTTTTTTTATATTACTTGTTTTGGCATATCTTCGATTTGATAGGTATAATCCTTCAGCTGTAAGGTTAAGATCGTTGGATAAAAATCTATGTTATAATAATTCAAACGAAATTGGACGAAATTAAAAATCTATAAAACTTTTAAAATGTGATAGAACTATATAATTCTTATTAGGTTTTTCTAGAGATCTTCCAGTACACTTCAAACATTTTTCTTATGTTTTCATATTTATAGAAAAATATTTTCGTGCACCTTTTTTAAATACTTTTCAAATATATTTTTCTGAAGAAAAATATTTTTAATCTTTATATGCAGTTAGTAAAAATATTTCTTTTTTCAAAATATTTGAAAATTATTGCTTTCACAAATTTGAGGCTTTTTAAACAATTTTTTCCCTTCAGATTCTTAGAAGCATTTCTATTAATTCTGTACATGCTAATTTTAACAATAATTTTTTCTGAATTGGAAGTGAAAGAATAAATAACTTATAACTTATTGATTGCAAAGATAGTTAATTACTAGTTAAATATCTATATATTAATTTTAGGGCGGGAGCTGGCGTAACTCAATGGCAGTTCTTATTAGAAAAGATAACTGATTTATATATAGTAGCTTATGATTCAAATAAGAACAAACAACTTTTATTTTTGAGTTTTTTTTTTTGAAATTTTTTTTCTTCTTCTGGTCAGATTGCTGGAGTAACTTAATTTTTCATATTTTAAGTTGTTTTTCTGTTATTTTTTAAAAAAGTATTTATTTTATTTGTTACTATAAATCAGTGTTTCTCAAACTCACAATATTTGCGACCCAATATTTAATCATAATTTTCAACGCCCCCCCCTCTGTACAATAACAATGTGTTGAATCCAATAATACTATACTTTGACACCAAAGCTACAATACGACGTTAACCTCTTAAGTGTCACCGGCGTGCAAAAACGTCTCACTCAGCCAAGGCGTTATTTTCTCCAAGCCAAGGCGTTTAGACGTATATATACGTCTTTCCGAAGTACGATATTTTCTGCGCACTGCTATCCATAAAATTATTCCGAAGGCCTTGGAATGCTATAAAAGGACCTTGACAGTGTTTGCAAAGGATTTACTTACTTCAGAGGATTTGCTTATTTTTATTCCCCCCCCCCAATACATCACATACGCATGCCTACGTTAAAAACGGTACCATTGGGGAGCGAATATTGTAACTTTTAATCAGCAGTTTAGGGATTAATTAGGATCCGTTCAAATCATCAAGTTAAATGTGAATTTTTGTATTTAATTTCGTATATGACAGGACCATTGGATCACTGTTAGTTATTAAAATTGTTCTTAACTTAGAATTGTTAAATTAATTATAAAATACATTGTGCAGTACTGATACATTTATAAGTGTATTATATAAGTCTAAATGTGCATTTTATTTTTTATTACGTCAGAATGTATTTTGTTTGTTTACTTTCAGTAAATTGGTAATTTTTTAAAAATGATCTTTTGTTTTCGACTTTTCAATAGGCTCGCGTCCCCCTTGTAGAGTTATCACGCCCCCCCCCCAAAGGGGCGCACCCCACAGTTTGAGAAACGCTGCTATACATCATAAAATCAAAAAGAAACAAAGAATACTAGCAAATATGTAAACATTTGAGTGTATCAATACATGCCCTTTCAGCGTATAATATTTTATTATTATTATTATTATTATAACTATTTTATGGGGTAGATCCATTCAGTAAAAGAATTCTTCAAATATTTCTTATTCCATTATAGATAAGTCTTCTCAAAACTCAATATTTTGTAGAAATACTACCGTTAATATGCTTTAGGGTATCTATATCTTTTGTGAAAAATACATTTTGACTTTGGGAAATTCTTATCTTCTTTCATGCAACCTCATAAAAAGAACGCAGTACAGATTGAATGCCCTCAAAAACTGAGCTATTGCAGAATGAGAAATTGCATGCGCCTAATAGGTGCTAAAATTTCGAATACACTTTTTGCCTGACGTCAACAAGAAATCCAAATACGTTTGCTATTCATGACAGCAGCTAACTCAAGACCGGATGATAAGAGTTTCTGAAGTCTATGGCTCATTGACAAACCACTAGGAGCTCTCTTATCATGTCTCTTTCCACTCCCTAGTCATTTGATGTCAGGTACAGGCCCACGATCTGATTATTGGCATTTAACTTCTTAGAAGATTGGAACACTTTTTAAGGCGAGTCTTTTTACAACGGTAATTTTTTAAATCTTCATCATAAATGACAAAAAAATTTTCGTGATGTGTTAAATCTTGAAAAAATTTTTTTGAAAGGAGGAAATTTTTTTATTCCAGCTTTGGACATAACTGTTTGTTAAATTTTTAATCCCAAATGTAGAGTATTTTTACCCGCGATCACTCGCGTTGGGTGTTCTCTACACCCGGCTATAATATAAAGTTAATGTATTTTAAAATGGAAATTTTGTAGGTTAGTTTAAATTAATGTTAGTCTCATTTTTACGCAATAAATTTAATAATTTTATTTGTATAATACAAAAAAACAACTTGTACTTTATAAAAATGTATCATAATTGACTAAAAAAATTTTTTTTTCATATTTAAATACACGTGTTAAAAGTTTTGGGTGTTCTCTACACCCCGCGAGTAACGACGGTAGCAAAAACAGGCGCGAGTGACGTGGGTTAATAAGAATCCATATAATAAATAATTATTTCCAACTTTTAAACTGGTTGTAGTATTTGAAAAGGAAGCTTAACAGTGGTTGGATTAAATATCAGAATAAATTTCAAAGTAATCTGTATAAATACAAAGAGTAATTAATCTGTGTAAAAACATTCAAATTAAATTACTACTGCTTGTGAATCGCGTGAATTCAAACCTAAACCACAACTATGTTGCCTTTGTGGAGATTCAGTTAACTATTATCTTGAAAAAAAAATGCCCGTACTCTTCAGATAATTATTTAATTAAGAAACTGTTGCTGACTATAGTATACAGTTGTTGTGCTGGTAAGTATCATGGTCTAAATTTGGTAAAATTGTCGAATCGGCCACTGGTCCGCCAAATTTTGAAAAATTGCTAATTTGGCGCGTTTTTTCATGTCGTGTTTGGTGTAGCAACTCTACCACAACACGAACCGACTTCTCCCTCACTAATACAAAAATCAAAAGGTTTACCAGATTTGGCGCACTTATCGATTTAGCGAGAAAACACTTGGCGGTATAAGTGGCCGATTCAACAATTCAACCCTAGATTTTACATATGAGGACTTTAATATCCTATTAAAACTCAAATTCTTATCGCCCCACCCAGTAGGGTGGTTATGGCGCTCGTTTTGTAATCGAGTGGGCTTGGGTTCGAATCCTGAATAAGGCATGGATATATCTTGGAAAAAGAGGTTCCGCGAGTCTGAATGGAAAGCAGCTCACTCCTTCTGTTCTATGCTGGGATCATCGTTTGTAATAAAAGTCTATGCTTTTTGTATTGTATGTTTCTATTCATCTATCTTTCGTATGTATCCCAGTATGAAACACACAATAACAACACAAGTCAAGTTAATAACCCTTTATTAGTCTACACAATGATCAGCAAACGAAATTAACTCAAACATTGCTGATTTTCCGTTTGAAATATCCCTATTTGATGGGCTTGCTATAAACAATGTTTTTATTACTTTAGGAAACATTTCTTGGTAGTTAGAGCGTTAAAAGAGGCTGCTTCAGAAGTAGCAGAAGGTTCTTTGCAATATTATTTAAAACTTTATACCAAATTTCAATCATGAATAAATAAGAATAGTACACATATTGTGCCAATAGAAAGTTCTACACAAGTGATGCATTATTACATTGCAACATTACTTGAATAAAAAAGTTCTACCACACACACACACACACAACACACAAAACAACAGTTAAAAAGGGACACTGGCGATAAGTTTGGTCGCCAAGATGCCAAACTTGGTAACAAAAATAGATGGACCTAGAAAATTTCAAAAGAATAAGAAAAGAAAAAGAAAAAACCAATCACACGCAACCTTATTTACCTAATCTAAATTTAGAAATATTTCTTGCAATGAAAAATTACAATTGATCTATAAGCACGACGTATTCATAATTTATTCAAAAAATTTTGATCTATGAAATAATTTTAAAAAATTAATAATTATTAGCAAATAACCTATTGTAAATGACAGTATTTAATACACTGCTTTGTAAGAACTTCCCGGAAACTGAGTTCATAACAAGTAACATAAAAAAAAAATTTCATTTCCTACTTAGGTCAACAAAGAAAATTTTTTTATAGTTACTTTTTATTATATAATTACAATTAATATAAATATGTATATACATATAACATAATCACAATATTAAGTGGCAAAATAGAAAGCGATTTTCCTTGCAATTTGCCATTTTTCTTTCTATATATGGTGTTGGACTATTTTATTTTTGTGTTTTTACCATTTATTCATTACTTAAATTTATTATTACAATAAAATAGTATAGAAAGAAATCATATTCTCAAGAAATTAGGCCATCCCATGTGGGATTCAAACCCACGACTTTTGGATTAGAGGTCCAACGCGCAACCCATTGCGCTTCAGGAACACAGAGAGCAATTTCCCTTTTTATTTATGATGTTGAACAATTTTTTTGTTACTAATTGTTCATTAATTAATGAATTAATATTTAAAAAAACTATATTAATATCAAGTGCATCCCCTACAAGTTTAAAAAAATGTATTTGAATTTGAGTGGATGAATAAAAAGTATTTTATGAAAATTTGAACAAGATATCATATATAAATAAATATATATATGGGGCGGTGAACTATAGTAGGAATATTAAAAAAGTAAAGTTTAAGGATATTGTAAAAAACAGATTTTTAAAAGTTTTTAATTGACGCAATAATGATAAATTATATAAATATTAATATAAGTTAATGCTTAGAAGTAAAAGGGAAATGGAGGACCCCATATGGGTCTAAAACGCTGTTAGTCGCGAAGAAAAACAAACAAAACATGAATTATTCAAAAGATAAATCATAAAAATCACATAAATAATATAAATGCTCTTTATTAAAAGGCATATTTTCTTCTTTATTAAATTTGCATTAAAAAAGAGATAAAGTCAGAAATTAAAAATCGTGTTCAGTACAACCATGAAATAGTAAAAAAAAAAAAAAAACAATATTGCTTTCTTTCATATAAACAATTTAAAAGTATCACATGATTTAGTTAAACTAGAAGATGGCATAGAAATACTTTTGATAATATGTGTTTGATTTTCTTTAGATGTATTCAAATTCTATTGTTACAGATAATTTCATCAAATTTATGCAGTGTTATGAAAAAATATAAATGAAACAAAACGCCTGCCGGTAACAAAGAGGATTAAGGAATACAATGACCTGCGGAAAATTAATTTATTTAGCTCCACTATAAAATAGTATATTTAAAATGCAGAAATATTACGAAAAGAAAACCTATAATTTATTTGTGTTCCTTTTTCCTTTATACTTCTTTGGGGTTATTTTCCTTTGGATAAAACCTTGTAATGAAATAGAACTTGAATATAAATTTCCAGGTTCTTTTATTTTTATAGCATAGAGAGTATATTGCTTTAGGAAAATGCATTTTGTAAGGTGATTTCACTTACAATAATATTATTTTCAGTTCTTTTTTAACCGTTTATTTTTTTAATTATTTTTTACTGATAGTTTTAAAATCAGTTCTAGTGAAATCAAGTTTTATAATAACAAGTAATATACATTTTTTTTTAAAAGTCAAATCCTACTTTGAATGATTTAATAGAAAATATTATATTAACGATTGAAAATTTGAACAAGATATATATATATATATACTAGCTGACCCGGCCACGCGTTGCTGTGGCTTTGTTTTAATACGTTAGTTCAATATTATCCTAAGCTATTCAATGCAGTCAAATTAATCTTCGTTTATAGATTTGGAGGGTTGAAATAAAGTATAAAACAAATTATTTTATTTTTGCATTTCTTTCATCTCCTATTTGAGTGTAGTTACAATACATGAATTACTAACGAAGACGTTAAGTAACAACATATGAACATTTAATTTTATAAATGTGGTGAATAACGTTGATTCTTTGCAATTTTTAAAATTATTTTTATCATTTAAAGTATAACAACAAATAATTTTATGCATCGGTAATAAATTTTTACATACACATTTAATTAATTACGCATTTAATTTATTACACATTAAATTTTTACATACGGCATACACATTTTTATAATTGGTGTACAATATTTTTCGGTAACCCCTACTTTGCTAACTCAAATAGATTCAACGGTTTCCGCACACGTAAGCATGTAACATCTAGTTGCCCATTCGAGAAACATGGATTTTTTAAGTCCAAGTATCAAATGAATATTGTTCGGGTTTCAGATTCATTTATGGTCATCGCGAAAGCCAAACGAATCGGGAATTGAAGCCTTTTGAATGGTAGAGATTCTGACGGTATCAGTGGAATACGTGACAACAAATTCCGTAGTAGCAGAACCGAATTTTCGTTTAAACTTTACAATCAAAATGTTTGCTTCAAGACGTTCCCGGTATAATTCTTTTGATGATCAAACGTGTACCGTTGCATTTTCTAGGTGAATTTAAGTTACGCAGATAATAACCAGGGAACCAACCGAAGATTATGTTGCGACATTCCTGATACATCTAGAGAATTCAAAAATTCGGTTGGAAAATTTACGGTTTTGTTTTCATCAACAATAGTGTCGATTGGTTTAAAAGGCGTTGGATAAACTGGCAACAACCCTGTGTCTGGAAGTTTATTTCATGACAATATCAACATTTTTTTTGATTAAGTAACAAGATTACAGAGGCAATAATTATTTAGATAATTATACAGTATATCTGGAAAGACACTCTCAATCAGTTCCTTTTTGCCTTAGGAACATTACAGAAATCGTCTGGTTATTTCATGCATTATGTATTGGGATGAAGTTCTACTTCACCGTTTCCAATATTCAGTAGTTGGTTAGGAAATATTTTCTCAGATTGATCATCTTGCAAATGTACTCGCGTGTTTATGGTCAGTCGAAGTGTTTCCATGTTTCGCCATAAAAACGATTGTTTTAATTGAATTTAATTTTAATTTAAACGATTGTTAAACAGGCGTTAATCTCGTGAGCAAAATTAGAGATTGTATAATGATTGTTAATGTCTATCGGAAATCACCAGACAGTAATACAAAAGAAACACCGAATATTCTCTCGTTGCCATTTAAATCTTGCAAAGCTGTGTGTAATGCTATGAGCGAATGTTTATGGGTCATGGTACACTTATCCCTGATCATGATTGAATTCATTTGAAATACTGTAGCCAATCCTCTCTTTTTTTTCAATGGTACACATTACATCTTGTATTTTATGAATGTCCAATGGCAGTTGATGCGGAATGTGCTGTTTTTCCACCATATAACAAATTGACAACAATGCCCGAAGATGCAATTTCCTATTCTAATCATATTTTCGCACGACTGCCCCTGAAAGTTTAGTTGCTATAGTGAAGGAAAATCCGGAGGTGTGTGGAACTCGAACACAAAGCCATTTGACCTCATTCCAGCAAAATCCAGAAAATTTACGGAAGCTTTTGAAATCCGTATCCAGATTCTCGCCCCCCCCCCCGAGAAGTACTCGGTGCTCACTTTCGACGCCCTTGCTCCTGTAAGTTCAGTCTCTGAAGGGGGACATTACGGTCGGTCGGCATTATCCGGCAAAGTTACGGGAGTTTCTAAAATCCGATTTCACATTATTATTGTTTCCCATCTAGAAAAACACCAGGAAAGCAATTCTCTCTCCTCAAGAATTTTAAAGCAAGCCTTTTCCACACTTCGTGCAAAATACTTTCGTCTGGCATTATTTGACATAGATATGAGATTATATTGAATTGGATTGAGAATATTCGGATCGGCAGTTCCGAAATACAATCAAGATCCACTTTTTGAGTCTCTATGTCGGCAGTGGCCGCGGTAGCCAAGTGGTCAAGGCATCGGATCATGGCTAGCGTGTTATGAGTTCGAGCCCAGCACCACTGAAAACCCACCGTGTAGGGGAGCGATTCACGTTAAATCTGTCGAGAGCTCAAACGTCCTCCCGTTGGTGTGGTGTGGTAGTTAGGAGAGGGCGTGCCAGCTCAGGTGTCGTCCGCGTCACTTGACCATGGTTCAAAATTACGCGGTAAGTCGCCAAAAGCCCTCGTGTAGCTTAAAAGTGTGACGTTAATATTCACTCACTTTACGTCGCCAAGATAGGCTGGTACTGCTGTCCGAGAATGTTCCGATCCCCCGGCATTATCTGGCAAAAATACAGGAATTTCTATATTTTGATTTATGACTCGCTAAAACCATCTCAAATTACACCAGGAATACACTTTTCCCACACCAAGACTTTAAGGGTGAGCTCCTGCTCCGGTTTGCGTAAAAGACGGTCATCCTGAATTATCGGCAAAGTTACTGTTATTTCTCAGATTGAATATCAGATTCAGATTATCCGTTTTGAAATACACCAGGGACAAAGTTTTCACGATCCAAGGCTTTTAAGGCACGCCCCTGCTACGGTGTGTCTAAAATACTGTCGACTGGCATTATCCGGCAAAGTTATCGAAACTGCTAAAATTCAATTTCAGATTCTCATTTCACACTCCGAAATGCTCACGGAGCTGACTTTTGATGCTCCAGCGCGAGTAAATTCAGTCGCTAGAGTTAATGAAAATCCGGACGGGGACTCGAATCATTTGCCTTTTCTCCTAATTCAGACAATATCCGGCAAGTTTAGTGGAGTTTCTGAAATATTAAATTATCGTTTCCCGCCCCTAGATACAACTGGAAATTACTTTTGTTCCCCTGAGTCGGCAAGTTCAGTTCCTGGAAGGGGCATTAGGGTCGTCCGGCATTATCTGGCAACGTTACAGGAATTTCTAAAATTCGATTTCAAACTCTCGTTCACCATCCCGAACTACAACAGAAACGTACTATTCCCGCACCAAGACATTAAAGGTTTGAGCACGGTTTGCGTAATAAATGGTCGTCCTGAATTATCCGGCAAAGTTACAGTTATTTCTCAGACTGGATATCAGATTTGAAGTACGCAAGGGTCCAAGTTTTCACGATTCAAGGCTTTTAATGTAAGCCCCTGTTATGGTGAGTTTAAAATACGGTCAGCCGACTTTTTTTTGGCAAAGTTACGGTTATTTTTGGAAACTGACTCGAAAATCGGATTCTACACCCCGAAATACGCCAGGCACTTAATTTTCGTGCATTTTGGTTTGCAATATCTGCTTCCACAGACACATGAGCACTGCTACATTTTGCGATAATTCCCTTACGGGAATCTGGCAACGTTTTTTCCGGATTCTTCACATTTCCGGCAATAAAAAAAATATAGCGTGATTAATTGAAATAAAAACCGTCCTATGCTTTAAGTTGGACGAAATGACACACAGTATGCAAAATTATATTATGATAGGTTGAGTAGTTTCGGAGTCCACTGCGGACAAACACTGTGCACGTATATTTTATATATAAAGATATTATACATATATACATAGGAAGA